CGCGCGCGCGCGCGCGCGCGCGCGGGGGGCGGGCGGCGCGGAGGAGGTGGCGGCGGCCATGGCTGAGGCATCGCCGCAGCCCGGACGGTACTTCTGCCACTGCTGCTCGGTCGAGATTGTGCCGCGCCTGCCGGTGAGCTCTGGGTAGGGGCTGCGGGCCCTCTTCGGCCTGAGGCGAGCTGGCACAGATGGGGAAACTGAGGCTCGGTGGCGTCGGCCCGGGGCTTAGCGGAGGACCCCGAAGGGGGCCTGTCCACCGTGGCGCAGCGGAGCCGGTGACCCCGGATCCGCGACCTCCTACCCCGTGAAGCCCTTGGGTCACCGGTGTGGAAACTGAGGCCCGCAGAAGCCTCGTGATCTGCTCCGGCGCACCTCCCAGGAGGAAGCGGGGCGCCGGAGGAGCAGTGTCCAGGGACCGTTCCCGGAGCGCGTGGTCGGGGTCGCGGGGCTTTGCTGCGGGCCGCCCCATGGAAGCTCCCCGTCTGCGATCCGTCGTGGGGACTAGGCGGCTGAGGCCCTGTCTGGGTGTGACAGCTGCCCAGAGCCTGTGTTCTGGCGTTTCCCTGGGGCTTGAGCTCAGCCTACGGCCCGGTGTTGTCTCCTGCTCATTTAGGCCAATATCTCCCAAGATGGTCTGATAGCGCCATGTGGTGCGGAGAGGGCTGCTTGTTCAAGTTTTCCAGGCCCCTCATCCCAGGGTTTCTGAATCAGTTGGTCTAGGATGGGGCCGATGTTCCCCTATTCCCAGGCTGACAGGGAAAGCAGTGGTGTAGTCCGACTCTCTCCCAGTTTACAGATGGAAAAACAGGCCCACATCCACTCAGGCCGGCCACGTCCCGACATCGGCCACTGGTCCAGCTTACCCAGAGCAGGAAGAGGGAGGTGTGAGATCTGGAGGTGATGAGGATTTATTGAGCATCAGCAGGATTTACTGAGCACCAACAGGGTGCACTCCTTGTCCTTTATCTCCACACAGTCACCTGGCTGGTGGGTGACTGTTTTGATTTCAGAGCCAGACTCTTAGTCCTGTCTTTCCATCTGTGGGGTTCCCTGGGAGCGATTGCTGCTGGGAGGGGGCCAGGAGGAGCCAGGAGAAGGAGTCTGTCAGCATTATCCCAGCCGCAGAGAAGAAAGGGAACTAGAGGCAGGGTTTGGAAAGTGGTGCTTAGGCCCAGGAGAAGAGGAGGGGTAGCAAGGGGCTTTTCCCCCTCCCCAGGGGAAGGGAAAAAAAAACAAACCTCTGAGGTGTGTGAGCACAGACTTGGGGAGCTGGGACTTGCCCCACTCCAGCCTCCCAGAAGTCTTCTGCCTCTTTGGCTTCCTGTATACCCCATCTCTGAGCCTTTTTTTCTCGACTATGGCAGGAAGGGGCTGTCGCCTGACAGCCCACCAGCCTAGATTAGTTGCATACAGCACTTCATAGCTGGTGTGAGCCCCAGGTCTCAGGCTCCCAAAGCAGCCTGTCTAGAACCATGCGGAAGCCTGGGGGCTGTGGCTGTGACAGGGCTGGGAAGTCTGCACAGCTAGGTGTTCTGGGCCTCCCTTCCTGGGGCCAGCACAGGGCCTGGGCCCTGGCCATGTGGCTTGGACCAGGAGGACCCTGACCTCTTCCAACTGTCTCTGGTCTGATGAGGACCTTCCTAGTCACAGAATCCAGTAGGGACAAGGTAGCCATGGTCTTTGCTCTCAGATTTTATAGGCTGGTCAGGGAGCCAACCTTGAATACGTGATTGTCAAATATTTAGTCAAGAATGTTGATTAAAATTGGAAGAGCAAATCAGAGTGGGGAGTGGGTGTCGGGGTGGGTGGGAGAATGCCTGCTTGTGGATTTGGAGTGGGGTTCAAGGAGGCTCAGCAGACAGGGTGACGATTATCAGTAAGGGGCACACCTGCTGTTCTGGGGGAGGGAAAGTTGGCTCTTAACCTGGTGACAGTGAAGGATCCAGCCAGCAGTCACCCCTGAAACTGGGACTTGTGTTTGTGGGAAACTAGTCCCACTTTGTGAGACACTCGCTGGCTTTTTTGCAGCTGCTAGTACTGTTGTGACAGAAACTGGCTCTCATTGTAACACCTGCTCAGGACCTTGGACTCACAGATGCTCCTCTAGCTGGCTTGGCTGGCAGGTCAGGCTGAGGCTTCTTAGCTCTGTGGCTTGGGGCGAGCTGCTCAACCTCTCTGGACCTCAGCCTCACCACCTGTCAGATGGGTTTGATGAAGTCCAGTAGGAATATGTGTGTACAGAGAAGCCCAGAACCTGACTCCCGGAATGCACAGGGAAAGGCACGCGGCATAGCCAGGGTACGGCATGTGGGAGCAGGCACCAGACAGGTTGGCTGGCATGGAGACCTTGAGGCTGGTGCACAGGCTCAGACTTGATCCTTCCCAGGAAACGGGAGTTCTGGGGACATGGTCGAGGTGTGTGGTGGCAGGAGCCTGGATGTGGGCCTGATGTGGACCTGCTGTGCCTGACATCCTCGGGGTTCATCTAGAGGTCAAGTTCCATCTGCAGGTTCCCACACGCCTATCATGTTGGTGGGACAAGGTGTGTCAATCGGAATCTTGGTTCCTATCAACGGTGTCAGAAGCAGGCTGGGTTGAAGCATGTGTGGGATGGGCACATGGCTGGTGCGCAGCGTGCCTGAGATGATATCAGGTACTGGCAGGGCTCTACACCCCAGCATCCAGCAGTGTGCATAGGGTCATGGACGCTTTGGGGGACAGATGGGACGTGACTGTGGGGTGTAGGGAACAGTCAGGGTGGGGTCGGCTTTCCCATTGGTTCTGGGCAGGTGTTTCTGGCCAGTGACATCTGAGGAGGGCTCTGTGGGGCAGAGGGAGCAACCAGTGCTACCCTAGGTTCCATCTGTGTTTGTGTCTGAGTCCAAATACCCTGATACAGTTCTCTGCCAGCCCTCCCTGGATCTGCACTGCGCCTGGAGCTCTGCCTCTCCTGGAGGGGCCCTGAGGGCCCTAGGCCATGGAGGCCAATGTCACTAGAGCTGTGATCCAGTGGGGTCAGCCATCTCCAACTCAGTTTCTCCAACTTCACCATATGCCCCTGGTGTGGGCTCTTTGTCTGTGTGATGTGAAGGAGCTCTTGGATAAAAGTGGTGCCCATCCTGTGTGAAAACGTCCAGGTCCTCTCTGTCACCAAGGAGGGGCCGAATAGTATCTTCGAATAGTACCTTCCGGGCGTGTCCTGGGTTCAGTGCATGGAGTGGGTGCTCAGTGAATTTAGCATCTGTATGTCTTCCTTGGTCTCTGGCTGCTGCTGTGGCTGTGGTGGTGATGCAAGGGTGGGCACCTTACCTCCCATCCCTCCTCTGAGGGGAGAGGCAACTAATTCACGACAAGTCACCAGCAAGGCATAAGTGCTTACAAGTTAGGGCCCAGTGAGTGGGCTCTTCCCCCTAGGTGGGAGAGGAGCTGTAACCACCTGGGCCCTGTCCTGGAGACAGGTTCTGCCCTCTGGGAGGGACACTCTATCCTGCGGTATCCCTTGCTGGGATGCGATTTTCTACCTTTGGCCACTCTGATTTAATAGAAACCTCTGGGGTGTGCCCTCGGAGAGGGAGAGCATCAAGACAGTCCCAATTCTGGCCTGTTTCCCCCGCCTGCAAGCAGAGGCTGGAGCCACGCCTCAAGTCTGGGGCTCAGAAGGGTGGCTCTGGACTTGGTGGGGGTCTCTCAGGGACAGAGCTCAGAGGCAGGGCCTTCCCATGCCCCTCTGTCAGGCCACAGCCCTCGGGTCCCTGGCGGCTGTGGATTGCAGAGCCCTGGGGTTGAGGCCATCCTTAGTTTGCAGGTGGGGAGACCGAGGTTTGCAGCCGGTAGGTGACATTTGAGCAGAGACCCAGCTTTCGCAAGGGGGTCAGCCAGGTAGATATCTGGGTAAGAGTGCTCTGGCAGAGGAGACAATGTACAGGCCCTGGATGGGCGGGACCAGCGTGAGGCTGCTGGGGAGAGGGCCAGGTGGAGGTGGCCTGGACTGGGTAGAGCTGTGGTAGTGGCTGGGCCGGCTTGTTCTGGAGCTGACGGTGCGCTGATTGTGCCCTGTGCTGAGATGGTGGTGCGGTGACATGTACAGAGTGGTTGGGTTCAGTGGAGGTCAAGGACAATGGGACAGACTGTGTGGTCTGAGAGCAGTGAGCACCCAGGAGCCTTAACAGTGGGAGATGGGTTGCCCATTTTCCAGCAGGGCAAACTGACAATCAGGCTGAGGCCATGTGGCACATCTGCAGGGCGGGTGACAGTCGGGTCTTCCCCTGAACCTGAGCTCAGAGTTTCCTGAGCAGACCAGGCTTGTCTGGCCTCGCCATGTATTCCTGGAACCCTAACTGGCCGTCACCCTCCCCCAGGGGCCCCATGAGGCTGGGGACCCTGGGCCTCTTCACAAAGTCGCCTGGCTCCTGGGAAGCCTTGAGGTAAACAGGCCGAGGGCTGGTGGGGCGATAGGGGGAGATCCTGAGTGACACCTCACCAACCTCCGGGAGTACTACACCTCCATGACTGTCATGGTCACGCACTGCGATGGAGCTGACCTTCCCCCTCCCCCCCCATGCCCCTTCTCAGGAGGTCAGAGGACTGCTGTCCTCACCGTTTCTTGTATCTATCTATCTATCTATTAAAGATTTTATTGGGGAATCAGGGGAAGGGGAACAGACAAGTTGCTGTCCTTTTGTTCTTCAGTCTAGTGGAGGACGCCGCTTCACTAGCCCATGTTGGTATTATGATCACTGCGCTCTTTCCAGCTGAGGCAGTCGGTCGCTGGTCATTGGACGGCCGCTCTCGGTAGCTTTACGGCAGCCCCACTGCAGCAGGGGCTGCAGCCTATGCTATCACCAGCCACTCACAGCAGCCCAGCTCCAGATTGAGCTGTTGTTCACAATCTTAGCTGTAGATGGTGCAGTGTCACTGGCCCATGTGGGAACCGAACCTGCAGCCCTACGGCTCAGAGCTCGCACTCCTAAGCCAACTCTTAATCAACTGAGCCACTCGGCTGTCCCTTGTAACGATTTATTGAGATACAACTTCATTGTGTTCAATACCCAACAATTTATTGAGATACGATTTCAGTGTGTTCTGTACCCATCCTCTCAATCCAATTCCAGAACATTCCATCACCCAAAAGAAACCCTGTCCCTATCAGCAGTCACCCCCTATCCCCTCCTCAGCCCGACAACCACTAACCTCCCTCCTGTCTGTGAATGTGCCTGTTCTGGACATTTCACATAAATGAAATCATACACCGTATGGTCTTGTGTGTCTGGCTTCTCTCACTGAGCACCTGTGGTGAGTGTCAGCGCCTCACTCCTTTTCACAGCTGAGTGACACTCCAGTGTGTGGATGGGCCACGCTTATGTGGATGGACACATGAGTTTTGTCTACCTTGTGGCCATTGTGAAGTGAGCCGCAGTGGATGCGCGTGTACAGGTTTCTGTGTGGACATGTTTTTATTTCTCTCCGTGGACACCTACAGTGCACTACTGCAGGGTCATGTGGTGACAGTGACCTTGGGAGGAACTGCTGACTATTAGGGAGAGATGCCTGCTGCATGTTTCCATGTGTGTTGAAGGTTCCGATTCCTGCGCATCCTCACCAGCATTTGTCACTGTCGTCTGTTTGAGTGTCGCTGCCCTGTAGGTGTGCAATGTGTGTCACTGGTTGTGACCTGCAGTTCCCTGTTGCTTGGTGGTGTCAAGCATCATTTCACGGGCTTCCTGCCATTTTTGTATCTTCGAAGAAATGCCTATTTCTGATCCTTTGGCCATTTTTTAACTGGGTTGTCTTTTTGTTGTTGAATTGTAAGAGTTCTGAATGTATTCCGGACGCCAGGCACCTTGACCTGTGCAGCTCCCGCCTGCGCTTCCCACTCGACTCCAGGAGCTTTGCTTTTGGCAGCGGGGCAGGTAAGAGGCACCCGGTGTGCGTTGTGCGGCACCCGCTGTCCAGATGGAGGTGCCCGGCCTCCTGTGGCTCCTGCAGAGGGTGGCACGCACCTGGGACTGCAAACAGCCCCACCTTCTTCCACGCAGCTCGCGGGCGGTGCCTTTGAAATGCCACATTGGGCAGAAGCAGGCCTTGTACATATGTCTTGTCTCTTATTTATGTGAGTTCTGACTTGCACACGTGCTGATGTGCCCAACGAGTACAGTGTGGGCTGGACTTGTTTCAGGGACATCAGCGTGGTCTCCGTGCTCACACACCTGGCTGTGCTGTGCCCGGGGTGGGTCCTCCACTCCCTCAGGACATCACCATCTCTGCCCCCTGGCTGGGGGCATGGCCAATGTGGATGGGGTCACACTGCCAGCCTGCGGTCACAGGCCATGTGCCAGGGCTGCTAGAATATTCCAGAAATGCTGCTGTGGGTTCTCCACAGGCCGGTCCCTCTGCCCAGGTGGCGCTTCCTGCCTTCAGTGGCTGCCTTCTTGGCCTGCTCTGAGGCCCAGACAGCCCTGGAGTGCCACAGACAGTCACTTGTGCAGCCCTCCACGAGTATAGGGTCAGGTGCCTGCCCAAGGCCATGTCTCCTATATGTGTGTGTTTGTGGAGGGGGGGGAGGTAACCCACAGGACGTTCTTGTGTTCCCGTAAGTTGGAAACAGCTTGCTGGACTCACATCAGCTGGCCTGTTTGCTACAGGCCTTGTCAGAGCCTTTATCAGCTGATGTGCTGTGTGGAGACCCTGAAACTCTGACTGTCACCGTGGTAGGCGCAGGCTGATGGACTCTGGGATGTGGGCAGGTGGGGAGATCACCTGCAGAAGAGCAGGTCGAGACATAGGTTGTAGCTGTGGGTGACAGGTGTCCATACCTGAGCCCTGTCTGGGTCACCTAACTGGGCCTCTGCTGGGTCCAGCCCTGGACTGGGGCGGTTTTGCAGGTGGGTCTCTGTAGGTGATGCTCATCCTGGGCCTTACTCTGTGCTCTGCTGCCCAAGGCATAAGCCGGAACCTCCAGATAACGCTCACCTGCTCTCTTGTCCACAGGATTACATCTGCCCAAGATGTGAGTCTGGTTTCATCGAAGAGCTTCCGGAAGAGACCAGGTAACACAGCCCCTGGGTCACAGAGGCCTTGGGCTGGGTGCATGCTGGCAGGAGATGGGGGGTGGGGGGACATGCAGTGGCCAAGGCAGGGCTCAGGGTAATGGAGTCCTGGGCAGCCAGAGGTAGATGCCTACTGTTCTGACTTGGGCAAGGGCAGGGCCTGCAGAGGGCAGAGTACAGCCATGAGGCCATGAGGGTTGGGATGGGGAGTCCTGCCTCTTCCCCAGCATGCACCCCATTGCTAACTTGGCCCGTGTCCTTCCAGAAGCACAGAGAACGGTTCCGCCCCCTCCACAGCGCCCCCAGACCAGGGCAGGCAACCATTCGAGGTGAGTCAGCTGGCTTACATGGCCGAGGGAGCAGACACAGCCTCTCACCCTCTGTGGGAGATACCCCCCCAGCCCCCACACCATGTAGGCTGTCCTCTTCCCAACGTGGAGCCTCCTGCACTCCCCTTCTGGGTCCCACATGTGTGCCAAGACTTCCCTGCTGTCGTCTGTGCCCTGGGAGTCCTGAGCCTGGGACCATGTGGATGCCCGTACAAGGGGCCCTTCTTCCCCACAGAACGTGGACCAGCACCTCTTCACACTGCCACAGGGCTATGGGCAGTTTGCTTTTGGCATCATTGATGACAGCTTTGAGATCCCCACATTCCCCCCGGGGGTGCCGGCAGATGACAGCAGGGACCCTGAGAGCCGGCGGGAGAGAGAACAGCAGTCCCGGCATCGGTATGGTGCCCGGCAGCCCCGAGCTCGCCTCACTGCACGGCGGGCCACTGGCCGGCATGAAGGTGTCCCCACGCTGGAAGGGTGAGGAGGCTGGGGGTGGCTGGTGGATGGGTGGGACACTGGCGGGGGCTTCCGGCCTGCCCCACCCCTAATCAAGCAGAGCCCTCCGAGCCCATCCTGAGGATGGGGTGCAGAGGGGCTGGAGTGTGGCTTAAGGACCTGGACAGGGTTGGGAGCCTCGTGTCCACTGAGTGTCCCCCATCTTCCTGAGCAGGGTCTCATTGGCATGGTACAGCTGGTTTACTATGGGGTCTTTGGCCCAGGGTGGTGGTGAGTGGGTGGTCTCTGGCATCCCTGACCTGTAGCGGTCCCCAGACTCCGTCCTACCCCAAGGGGTGGGCTGGGCTCTTCACACCAGGGATGGACCTGACACCCATTGAGCTCAGGTTCTCATGACCTCCAGGACATATCCCTGGTTGTAAAGTGGGGGTGGGGTGTTGTGATGCACATGGGCGCTATCCAGGCCTTGGAGGATCTGGCTTGGAACCTGGGACAGAGGCGCTGCTCTGGGCCCATGTACCCACGAGTCCTGCTTGTGGAAAGCACAGCCTTTAAATGCTGTGCCTTGGGAAGCTGGGCACGCGTCCCCTATGTCATCCTGGGAGGCCCCGACCCCAAGCGGGTGCTGACCGCATGGCCTTGCTGTTCCAGGATCATCCAGCAGCTGGTCAATGGCATCATCACTCCAGCCACCATCCCCAACCTGGGCCTGGGCCCCTGGTGAGTAGTGGGGCGGGTCCCCCAGCCCTGCTCGGCCCCTCCGCCACTTGAACCCCACACGTGTCTGCCCAGGGGTGTCCTGCACTCAAACCCGATGGACTACGCCTGGGGGGCCAATGGGCTGGACGCCATCATCACGCAGGTACGGGAGCAGGGGAGGGCACCCTGTGACCCCATCCCAAGGCCAGAGTGCACCAGCCAGCGCTTTATCCTGGCACTGGCACCGCAGGTCCTGGATTTGTCCCCTGTGGGGATGGATGTTCACTGTGACCTCAGTGCCCCTTGTGAGGCAGGAACGATGCCACCTTCAGTGCTATTCACCAGTGACCCGTTGGAGTATTTTGTCTGTGGTGGTACAGCCCTCTGATTCTCACTGGTGCCTTACGGAACCACATGAGCCCCTGGGTGGGATCCCTGGCCCTATGGGAGGGCTCTGCTGTCCCCAGGGCAACGCCCTCCTGCTCTGGCTTCAAGGTGACACTGACTAGACAAGTAGACGAGTGGGCAGAGCCTGTGGCTGGGCCTCGTGGGGTGACTGACCCTCTGACCCCCCAAATGGGGAGTCAGGGGAACAGTACAAACTCAGCCTCGGTGCTTTTGCAGGTAACCCAGCCTTGCATTTCAGAGCCAGGCGGGGCAAGGGGCCCCGCCCGCCGACCGAGCTCCTGCCCTCTGGTCTCTTGTCTTTCAGCTCCTCAATCAGTTTGAAAACACAGGCCCCCCACCCGCAGACAAAGAGAAAATCCAGGCCCTTCCCACCGTCCTTGTCACCGAGGAGCACGTAGGTATGAGGCCCTCAGTTGCCCAGTTTTTTTTTCTTTTCATGACACTTTCCCTGGGACTTTTCTGTTGGACCCAAGGTCGACTTGAAGTGGAGGCTTTGTCAGTGGCCTCTCTGTCCCCCTGGGTCCAAGGTGGCCCCGCACAGGCAGACTCCTCAATGGCAGTAGGACACCTTTGGTTGGGGGTGTCACAGGCTCTCACTCCCCACAGGCTCCGGGCTGGAGTGCCCCGTGTGCAAGGACGACTATGGACTGGGCGAGCGCGTGCGGCAGCTGCCGTGCAACCACCTGTTCCATGATGGCTGCATCGTGCCCTGGCTGGAGCAGGTGAGCAGGCGGCCATGGCCCCTGGGCCTCCCCACCCCCACCAGCTTCTGAACTGCTCCCTTCTCCCCCTGTGTCTCCACACAGCATGACAGCTGCCCCGTCTGCCGAAAAAGCCTCACAGGACAGAACACAGCCACCAACCCCCCGGGCCTGACCGGGGTGACCTTCTCCTCGTCATCCTCCTCCTCCTCCTCCTCCAGCTCACCCAGCAATGAGAACCCAGCAAGCAACTCCTGAGTCCCCCGCAGTCCCCAGCGAGCACAGGACCCGCCCAGCACAGGCCTGGCAGGCACGGGGACACCAATGTCCCAGAGCCCAGGAGGTGCTTCCCTTCCCCCTCACCGTGGACTCTGGTGTGGCCGCGCCCCAGCTGTGGGCAGAGGCTCGGACGACCCACAGCCTCCAGGCTGCATAGGAGGCCGGCTCTCCCCAGGGATGCTGCGGAGTGGCACGGGCGCCCCGGCCTCCCCATCCTGTTTGTCCAACCTCACCCTCCACATGTTCAACAGTGGGAAGGTTTTATAATTTTAAATTATTACTGCTTTGAAATAAATGGCCCTGCATGGTCTGTGGAAAGATGGGGTGGAGCCACTCGGCTGGCGTCTCGGCCCCGCTGGCTCGGCCACCCATCGCCACCCTGAGTGCGGAGGGGTAAAGGGTGGGGGAGTGGGGGGCTTGGGATCACCAGGATGACCAGCAAGACAGGACAAAACTGCTCAGAGACTTTTTTTAAAGGAAAAAATATGTGTATCTTGAAAGTTATTTAAAAATACACCTACTTAGAAAGGAAGCTGGTGGTTGGTGTTTTCCTTCTTTGCCTCTGGGGTTGAGCCTCTCAGGTACCAGCCAACACTGCCTTCCCAGACTGAAACCCTGGGAGTGGCTGGCAGCCTTCACCAACAAGGTGCAGAATGACCCTGCATGGGAAACCCCACTGTGCTGCGCTGCCAGGCGGGGCCTCCCCAGCTGCCTCACACTGACCCTCTACACAGCCTACGGTGTCCATGCATGAGGGCTGTTCTGGAACACAGGGTCACCTAGGTGGAACCACTGGCCCTGACCACAGTAAGCGTCCACTCTGCATGCCCTCACAAGTGGCCTCCAACTTTGTTTTCTGTGTTTTAAGTGGAAGTCAGTGGCTTGGAGGGATGGGAGCCCTCACCCCACCGCTAGGGTGTCACTGGCCCCAAGCAGAATGTTCCACCTCAGCTTGGGAGGGGCTCCCATGTTAGCCCCACAAAATCCCTTGGGGTAAATGGCATCATCATCTCCATTTTATAAAATAGGAAGCAGGCCCAGAGTAGAACTGCCTGGTCCAAGGCTGCAGAGCTGAGACCCAGGTTAGGGGGCTCTGGGGTGCTGGGAGGGCAGTGGGCAACTTCCCTCAGTCATGGCACTCCTCATGTCCCTCCCTCAGCCCTTGGAGGATGCTGACATGAAGCCCCTCAGCCTGTAGTCCCCCTTCCCAGAACTGAGGAGCTCTGAGGACATTACTCAATCTCAGATTCCACATGGATGTTTTTCTATGGCTGCTATGACATCCCCAAAATTATGGCTTAAAGGGCTGGCTGAGTGGCTCAGTTGGTTAAGAGCTCGCTCAAGAGTGTGAGCTCTGATCAACAGCGGTTTGATTCCTGGCCCGAGCTGAGCTGCCGCTGAGCTGCCAACAGGTGGCAGGATGGCTCAGCTAAAAAAAACAAAAACAAAAAACCGCTTAAAGCATACACATTTATTCTCTGACTACTGGGGTCAGGAGTCCCACACAGGCCTCTCCTCTCGGGGGTAAACCCAGGTGTGGGCAGGGCTGGTCCAGAGTCCCAGGGAGAACCGTTTCCAGCATTTTCCAGCTTCTAGAGGCACCGTGTCCCTGGCTCGTGGCCCCTCCTCCATTGTCACAGCCAGCAGTGCAGCCTCTTCCATCTCTCTGACTCTGAGCCTCCTGCCTCCCTCTTATGAGGACCCTGTGATGACACTGGGCCTCCCTGTAATCCAGGGTTGTCCCCATCTCAGGGACCTTGACTTTATCCACTTGCAAAGTCCCTCTGCCACAAGAGGTGACATGTCTGCATGTCCCGGAACCAGGGCTAGTCTCCCCTTGGGGTGTCTGTGTCACACCCAGGCCCCTCACTCCCCCTGGACTCCCCTCTTTCGCTGCCTCAACACCCCATAGGGTTCCCACTGCTGAGCCTTTGCCAAGGCTGTGTCCTGGCCTGGAGTGCCCTTCCCAGTCATTCCAGCCACCAAAGGCTGAATCCTTCAGTTTCCAGCCCAAGAGGTGCCTTGTCTGGGCCTCCTCACCCCCTAGCTCAGCGGTTCGCAACCTTTCACAAGGGTCACCTAAGACCATTGGAAAACACATATGTTCCGTTGGTCTTAGGAACTGAGACACCGCTCCTCTATCCGTCTCCAGGCCCGCATGCAGATACGCCCACATACAAGTACCTGGCGACCCCTGTGAAAGGGTCGTTCGACCCCCAAAGGGGTCGCGACCCACAGGTTGAGAACTGCTGCCCTAGCTTGTGACTAGACACCTACAGCCCCTGCTCAGCTCAGTGTTCACTCAGACTCAGATAAGAGCTCCCCGAGGGCCAGGCCGCATCAGTGCGGGTCCTTCAGGGTCAATAGCACCCAGCACACAGCAGGCACTCAGTGCTTGGGAAATGAACGAGTGACCAGACGTGGCTCAGCCATGGCCTGTGCCTCCCCCAGCCTCCAGCCCCTGGCCACCTGCTCGGGCATCTTCTGGAATCTGGTCCAGCCACTCCTCACAACCCCTCGGGGCTTCAGGAGACTAGGACAGGCAGGAAGTGGGTGGACAGGTGTTGCTGCCGGGTTCGGCGGCCGTGCTGGGGGACTCCCCGCCGGTCCAGCGCCAGGAACATGGGCCGGCCGCGATGACGCCAGCGGAGCGAGGTGTAGGTGTTGTAGCCGTTTTCCTCAATGCGCTCCCGGAACCTGCAGTGAACAGTGTAGACCCGCTGCCGGGTCGGGTGTGTGAGGCAGCCACTGAACCCACCTCAGGCCAGCACCCGCCACAGCAGGCCACCCCTGTGATGCACTCACCGACCCGTAGAGGCGGCCCTGGCGGCTCATGGCTACGAAGAAGCCGGTGTGCACAGCCTTGAGGGCCACGACGCCCACGTGGATGGAGCGGATCTCAATAATACCTGCGGGGAGCAGCTGGGTCAGGGCCCTGGGCCCCCCTTGGCTCCCCGCGCGCTCTCACTCACTAGTTCACTCATTCACTCATTAATTCATTCATTCAGGTAACATTCATCAAGCACCACCTGTGTGCCTGGCCTCATGCTGGCTGTGGGGGAGCACTGGGAGCCACACAGGCCCCACCAGGAGCTTCCCTGAGGATGTGGCCCTTACAGGTTGGAGAATGTAAGTGGGAAGGGTTCTGGCTTTCTCTGGAGGGCACTGGGGAACCATGGCAACCTGTGGAGCAGAGGAGGGTCCTGGTTATGTCAGGGGTTTGAGAAAAGCAAGCCAGAGGAGGAGGTTGATGCCTCCCTGGGTGAGTTGCTGATTTCAGTAAGAACAAGTAAAGAGTGTAAGTGACCATGGGCTGTGCATGGCCTCCCCGATGGTCTTCACCACCACTGCCACGTCCAGCCCTGACAGCTTGGTCAGCTGCAGCAGCACAGTTATGGATAGACAGAATGCCAGATGGGAGGCACCGCCCAGGCAAAGGCCTGGGGGGTGGGACATGGGTTGTTTACAGCTCAGTGTGTTCAACTTGATGATTGATAGCTGGTAATGCTGCTTGAGCATCAATACCACACACTGTACCCCAATAAGTCCACACAGCAGCTCCAGGTGAGAGGTGCTGACTGTGCCCACTTCCCAGAGGGGGAAATTGAGGCCTGGGAAGTGGTAGAGTCAGCTTCGGCCCTTGTCCGTCAGTGGGTGACCCTGAGTAAGCCCTGCCCGGCTCTGAGCTGATGCTTCCCGTCCAGAGAAGCAGGACCGCAGGGTGAGTGGTTGCATACAGCCTCAGCCCCACCCATGCACTGGAGCCTAATCTGGAGTCAAGGCCTTGTCCTCTGGTCTTCAATCTGGACTTGAATGCTTGAGGCAATGGGGATCTCACCCCATGACCTTACACCTGCTTTTCTCTTGGCTGGGCCCCTGGCTCCTCTTGTGCATGGTCAGCTCCTTCTGTCTGTACAAGGCTCAATTCAAGCCCCCCTCCTCAAACAGGCCCCCCCCCAACAAGACCTCATAAAGTGGCACCCCCAGTCAACTCCCTTCCATCACCCTATTTTCATTTTCTTTGCACCCCATGTGGTCCCCTCTCAAATTATCATATTACTCGTTTACTTGTTTAACTGCTTTACCCTTTGCTCTGGAACCCCATGAAGGTGGGATGTTCTGGTCACTGCTATGTCCTCCATGCCCAGCACAGCATACAAGAGGTGCCCAATTAATAACCACCAAATTAGTAAGGAGACAAGAGCTCCAAGACCCACCCACACAGAGCCATTGGCCATCTGTCACCCCCATCACTGCCCAGATCGGGAAACTGAGGCTCAAAGAGAAGCAGTGACTATCCCAGATCACCCAGCAGAGCCAGGCCTCATCCCCAGCCTGAGGTCATCCTGCTTGGCCGTGCCCACCACCAGCTGAATGGCCCAGCCAGTCCCCTGTCATTGCCCTCGTGAGGCTAATGAGGGCCTTAGGAGCCCCAAATGAAGGCATTTGGGAAGGGCAGGGGTGATTATCTGCCCTAATGGTGGTGATTCAGGCAGTGGCCAGCGATTAGCTCAGCTTCCCACCCCCAGCTCCCCCTGCCCAGACCTCAGAGCTGTGGTTCACCGACTGCCCTGGCTACCCAGCTGTCCCCAACCTTCTCTTCTTTGTCCTTGCATCTCCTCTTGCCTCATACATTCCACAGATACTTATTGAGCGCCTGTTGTTTACTGGGTGGGGCAGCAGAAACACTGACTCCAACTCCATTGAGTTTCTTGGGCATCAAGGAGTCCCAGCAAACACCAACCCCCTGGTGGCATGCCCCAGGGCAGGTCATTTCCCCTCTCTGCCTTAGTTTCCTAGGAAGAAATAGAAGGGTCCCCAACCCAGGCAGGTGCTGAGTTTTGTTCTGCATTGTGGGGAGTCAGGCTTAGACCCCAGTTCTGCCCCCACCACATTATGTAACTGGGCCCACCAGGGCCCTTCCTGGAGTCTCTTTGTAAATGGGCCCATTGACCCCAACTTCAACTGTTCTGCAAAGATCCTTCTCTGCTATTGAGCCCGACCTGGAGCTGGGAGCTTCCTCTGTGACCAACCATTCGGGTTGGGCCCATTTTACAGTTGAGGAAAATGAGGCTCCAGACAGAAATGACTTGGCTAATGCCACACTACCACAGTGCATGAGAAGAGGGCCCAGCGAAGTAGCTTATTGTTATGATTACTGCTGCAGTTGTTATTGTCCGCCTATTTGCCCTGAATCCCCCACTCCTACCCCTGTCCCTGGGCAGCCCCTTGCGACTCACTGTCAGGGCTGTGGCGCCAGCGGGTCCCCTGTACGCGGCCGCTGGGGTCCACCCGCAGAAAGAAGTGGGTGGAGGAGAAGAGACGCCGCCAGCGCACGTCGCCCTCCAGGTGTGGATAGCTGCGTGGTCTCCGCGGACCACTTGGTGTCCCCGCGGTGCCAGGTGCCTGTGCCAGCAGTAGGCACGCCAGGCCCAGCCACAGGTGGCTGTGCATGGCCTCGCCGCCCGCTCTCAGTCCGCTCTTGCCTCCCCAAGCACGTCCGCGGCTCTGCCATTGCTGGGTCAGGGGCGGAGCGCCCAAAGGGACGCCCCGAACGGGCCAATAGGGAGCCTCGGGGGTGAGGCCAGAGCTGCAGGAGCGGGGCAACTGGGGTGGGGCCAGGACACTGGGGCCGGGGTCCCATTCAGGAAAACCGGCTTGGGCCTCCGCGTGTGTTTGTCTTGCGCGGGGGCGGGGGGGGGGGCGGCAGTGCGTGTCCGTGAGTCACTGTGAATATGAGCGAGGCAGGCTGCACCGACAGGGAGGGAGACAGAGACAGAAACAGAGAGACACAGAAACAGACAGAGACATAGAGGCAGAGATAGCAACAGAGATAGAGACAGTGATAGAAACAGAGAGACAGAGACAGTGAGAACCAGACAGAAAGACTTGAGATACGTGGAAAGAGGGAGACAGACAGAAACTGTGAGAGACAGGGAGAGCCAGAGCTACTGAGACTGTGAGAGACAGAAACTGAGGTGGAGAGAGAGTTTGTGAGACAGGAAAAGACGGGTAAGAGAGACAGAGAAAGATAAGAGAGACAGGGAGAAGTGGAGCTGCTCAGGGGTCAGAGATTGGGTGGGAAGGTCTGGCCCGAGTGTCGTCTGTGTGGACTGAGCCCCTGGACTGGGATGCCCAGGTGGGAGTGGTCTGCCCTCCCAACTGGAGCTTCATGAGAGCCAGGCAGGCCCTGGGGCAAGGGGCTTCCCTGAGGGGTGGACATGGGGAGTGTGTGGGCGGAGGAGCAGTTGAATGTTTCTGAGAGGGTGTGCACACAGGTGTTTGGGTCAGTGGATGGATGGGGTCTGGTGGGTGGGAAGGTGGCCCATGGGAGGATGGACACATGGGCATGTCTGTGGCCAGCTAATGGGGACATGAATGATGACCAAGGCCAGCATTCCATCCCCAGCGTCCAGAGCTGCACATCAGAGGCATTAAGAGTGGGGCGGCCCTGTTTATGTCCACATCTGCTCATCATTTACAGACACACCCGAGCCCCACAGGGAGCCACCCCATGCCCTGGGCCCTGAATGATGAGTATAGTGAAACTCCACAGACTAGAGCCAAGAGGCATCATTGATAGGTGGGGAAACTGAAGCCCAGGAGGGACAGCAACTTCCCCAAGGCCTCACACAGGTCATATCCCAGGGCTCTGATCCCTGACTCTGCCCCCAGTTCTACAGCCATGGCCCCTAGTGGCACCTTTAAATAGCACCGGGGTGAATAAAAGGTAACAAGCCTGCCCAAGGAACATTGGAGGGTAACCAGTCCGTCCAGACGCTGGGGTGCCTTCCTGGTGGGTCTGAGGATTTCCCAATGCCTCTTCCTGGCCCTAGGAACCCAGCACTGAGCTGGAGGAGGGTGTCCCTATGGCCTGAGCCCAGCCCAGCCTGTCTTCCTACACTGGGGACCTTGAGGCCAGCACCTGAGAGACCTGTGTGTGTGCATCACCACCCCCAGCATGGGTTCCTCCTCTGAAAAATGGGCCAGGAAAGGGAAGGCTTGAAGAATAGAATGAGATAATCTATGACCTTGCTCGGTAGAGGCATCTTACAGAGACTCGGAGTCACATTCCCCACCAACTAGCCAGCCAGGAACTCAGTCTTCCTTTCCTAGAATGCCCCCACCCCATCCCCCAGGAATACCATCTTTGGGGTCTTGTGTGATAGATAGGACCCAACCTGGGAAGCTGGCCCTGCCCCAGGTATTGTTGGAGTTTAATAACCACTTCCTTGAAATATAGTTCACACACCACAGTGTGTTCAACAACCTCTCTCTAGTTACAGATCATTCCATAGCCCCTAAATGAAACCTTGTCCCCATTAGCCTCTACTCCCCATCCCCTCCCCCAGCCCCTGATGATCACAAACCCACATCCTGTCTGTGGCTGTGCCTGTTCTGGAAATTTCACATAAATGGAATCACAAACTGTGTGGCCTTGGTGTCTGGCTTCTCTCATGAGCACCGTGTATTCAAGGTCCAGCCACGTCGTGGCGAGTGTAAGTGCCTCCCTCCTTTTCATGGCCGAGTGACACTCCAGTGAGTGGACAGGCCACACTGTGTTCATCCATCACCCGCTGATGAACACTTGGACTGTGTCCACCTTGTGGTGTTGTGATTAATGTGTGTATAGGTGTTGGTGTGAGCATATGTTTTCACTTCTCTCATGTATATACCTAGGAGTAGAATTCATGGGTCATATGGTTATTCTATGTTTAGCTTTTTGAAGAACTTCCAGACTGTTCTCCACAGTGGCTGCCCCACTTTACATTCCTGTCCACCATGTCTAAGGGTTCCAGTTACTCCACATCCTTGCCAACACTTGTGATGGTCTGTCATTTTGATCAGAGCCACCTTAGTGGAGGTGAAGCACAATGAATGCCCTCTTCCTGGAGTCCCCAATTTTATATTTCATTTTTGCTGTCCATTAGCAGGGTCACTGCACTGCAGGAAGTGCACACAAGGGAATACTATGTAGCCACGAAAAAAGTAATCCCCAAAACACACAATAACATGGATGCATCTCAGACATCATGGTGAGTAGAAGCAGCCAGACACAAAAGGGTTTATTCATGTGACATTCTACAATAGGAAAACTAACCTATGGTGTAAGTGAGGATGGGGTGTCACCCTCAGGGTGGGGGGCATGAAGGGGTTTTGCTGGCTGCGTGTTCTTTGGAACACCTGTGTGTTTGGTTTGTGAAAATTAATGGAGCTGTATTCTTGATGTGTGCACTGCTTATGTTATACCACAAAAAACACACACATCTGATGTTTTTATGTAAGTGAATATTTGAGAGTAAGCCCTAAGGAAGGTGCCGCTTCACTTATAAGCACACCGGACAAATCTCCTAAAGGTCAAGTCCCCCGTCATAACCAAGCTGCAATCTAACCCACCATCTGGCTCAAATGTCCCTAAGTGTCTCCATAGTATCCTTGAGTAACTTATTTTCTGGTCCCAAACCACAAAGTACATTCCCTTTTGTCTCTGTGATTGGCCCTCAAAGATATGTCTACATTATAATCCCTGGATTTTACCTCTGAATTTTACCTTATTTGCAAAAAGAGTCTTGGCAGATAAAATTCAGATTTTCAAATGAGACCATCCTGGTGGGTCCTAAATGCAGTCAGTCACAAGAATCCTTCTGAGAGACACAGGGAGACTTGACAGACACACGGGGAGAGACCACATGACAATGGAGGTAGAAGCTGGAGGGGTGCAGCCACAAGCCCAGGGACATCTGGAGCCCCCAGAAGCTGGGAGAAGCAGGAAGGATCCCCGACTCTGGGGCCTTTGGAAGGAGCACAGTCCTGTACACACCTTGAGTTTGGATATCTGGCCTCCAGAACTGGGAGACAATAAATTTCTGTTGTTTAAGACACCAAGTTTGAGGTAATTTGTTATGGCAGCCCCAGGAAGCCAATACCATCTTCTTCTGTATAGAGGTCCCTGCCTTTCCTTGGCTTTCTCAGTGAGAACACTTCTGAAGTCTCATAGAGTGACACACAACCCAGGTTCATCTAAACAACTCCTGACTCTATTTGGATGAAACATCTTGGGTGAGAACCCCAACATACACGAACAATTTCTGAAATACAGTGTTACCAAACTCCAACCTTTTGACTCTGTAGTCCCCATTTAATTATATCCTTCTCCACCTGCCTTGTGTGTTAATATTTTTCTTGCTTGGGAAAATAAGAAAACTTGATATCACCATCAGGAGTGGAAAGCCAGTGCCATACATAGTCAATAAGCCATAAATAAAAATACAAGGTGAAAAACGAGGTGACAAATTCTCAGATCAGTAGGATCACAGCCTGGGAGGTGAGACAGAAGCTAAATACAGGTGGGTGCTAAGTGAAACTTCTTGTGTTGAGCAGGAACTGAAAGAATAAATTTCTTGCTGCCCAGATCCAGGAACTTAGCTATCGGGGAAATACTGGTTCAGGTCATCTGATGTTCCACAGAATAGAAGGAAAAACTGAGGCATAAGGAAAGGTGAAAGAATTCAGAAGTTTAGGGCCGGCTGAGTGGCTCAGTTGGTAAGAGCTGCCGGTTCGATTCCCACATGCAGCAGTAAGCTGCGCCCTCTACAGCTAAGATTGTGAACAACAGCTCAGCTTGGAGCTGGGCTGCCATGAGTGGCTGGCCATGGTGTAGGCTGCAGTGGGCTGCTGTGAGCTGCCCGTGAGCTACCGTGAGCTACTGTGAGTGGCTGGCGGCTGGCAGCCGGCGAGAGCAGCCGTGAGCCGCCATGAGCAGGCTGTCCAATGGCTGGTGACCGACTGCCTCAGTTGGGAAGAGCGCAATGATCATGATACCAACATGGGCCAGTGAAGCGGCGTCCTCCACAACTAGACTGAAGAAAAAAGGACAACAACTTGGCTGTTCTCCTTCCCCAATTCCCCAACAGTGTTCCCCTCCCCCAATTTCCCAATAAAATCTTAAAAAAAAAATTCAGAAGTTTTGGCTTCTAGCCCATGTTCCTGACTCTGCCAGACTGCGGGGGTCCAAGGGGGTATCTTTAAGTCTTGGGGGACCAGGCCCAGCTGATTCAGCCCCTCCCCACAAGGCAAGGAAGGCAACCTTTGGTGTGAGTCAGGTCTGAGGTCAATGCCCCTCAGGGCATCTTGGGGTGGGCTGGGCAGGTTCAGGAGGACGCTGCAGTCTGTTGAAACCATTCCCAGCTGGTCGCATCACTGCATCTCACAGTGCACAGGCCCATGTGGGCAGCTGCATCTGGAATGTGCTGTCAGGCTTTCAGGCCTGGAAGTCTGGCCCTTCCAGAGCACAGGTTCAGCCTCCACTCTGGGCGAATGGGCAAAACAAACTCCGAGCATCTGGGGACAGATGGCAGCTTGAGCTGAGGCCTCTAGGACTGCTGTGATCTGACCCCTGAGCACCTTTCCAACGTGGTCTCTGCTCCCTTTCCTCACCCTGCTTGAGTTCCTCCAACTATCCATGCTGGTTCCAGCCTCAGGGCCTGTACACTTGCTAT